ATCATTAAAGCATTAATCTTACTAATTTTGTTCCATTAAAACCGTATTTTTTACGCTTTTCATTCTCGGGATCATCAAGATTTTTTTCATACGATACGTTGAGAAATGATGAAAAATGCAAATATATGAAACGTGCTTAAAGCAACCATGCCACATACAAAGATTTGCTATTTATTTTTTCACTTTATCACACAAAGTATAAAACTTTTCTTTATACATTCAAAATATATTAAAAGAAAAATTGTTAATCAACACTTTTTATTTAAAAAAATTGCTTAAAATATATTTTCTGTCGCGAAAACCAAACCTTTCCTGAAAGTCATATTGACATAAATACTTGTCTGTAACAGTATACAGATGGGAGCTATCAAATTCTATGGAAATTATACTGCGCCGTGTACACGTTGTATACGCCTAAAAATTTTTAAAATAGTTAATAATAGGTCACTATTAAAGTACAAGATACATAAAATTTAAAAGTGATACAAACTTGAATGTAAGCATTTTGTCTCTGATCCCATAGAAGAACTTGATTATTGGTCGTCCCTGTCATAATAGTGTATAGATTATCTGTTGTAAAACATGTTAATATTTTATCTGTTGTAAAACATGTTAATATTTCGTTATTTTCGGATGAACAATTCCATGTACGTACAAATTCGGATGTTCTGAAATCACAGTAGTGAATTTAACTAATTGAATGGCCAATTAATATTAACAATATGATTTATTACCTTATATCCATTTTTTTAATATAAGAATCATAACATATGAGAATAGTATGAGGATCCTCCCATAGTAGTTGGAAAGCACCAGGTTTATAACGATAATTTGAACAATCTTCTGTTTTATCTATTACGGAATCTCTAAAATTTTTTTTAGATTAGTGTTTGTTGCATATTATTTCAAATATACGACTACATATAAAAACCTAAAAGACTAAAGACATGAGACCAAACTCCTTACTCTTTATCTTTTTCTAGTTCTAAGAATTAGAAAAAGATGAAGAATAAGTTAAACCAAAATTAAAATTAATCTACGTTGGTGGAACCGAGCATAAGTTATAATTATGAACTATAGTTACTAAATCGGATCATGTAATGATGTATATGATCGAATAGGTCTGTATGTATATGTATATAGTGTCTATATTAACATAGGTATTCATAGTCTGTTTTTATATTTAAGATTGTCTTAAGTATTGTCTTAAAATTTTATGAACCAATTAAAAAACCATATTAGTATCTTAAGACGACGATGACGATGATTTAAGACGATCTTATATATAAGAAATGACTATGAATATCGGCCATAGTCAA